AATGCAAAACATAAAGAAAATTGATGCAAACAAGAATTGACCTAAACTTTTATTTGCAAAAAAAAAAAAAAAAAAAATCATTCATCGCCAGGGTGTAGGTTAAAGAATCAACTATAACTTTACTTTTTTTAAAAAAAAAGGAAAACAAAAACAAATACAATAAAAAAAAAATAAATAATAAAAATGAAAATTACATAAAAATTCGAAAAAGGCCAAAAATCGCAAGAAAATTCACTAAGAAACACTGAAAGTCTGCAAGAGAGTTCACCAGAAAATGCCAAAGATCAACAAGTGAATTCACCAGAAATGCTGAAAGTCCACAAGAGAGTTCACCAGGAAACCTAAAAGTCAACAAGAGAATTTACCAGAAAACGTTTACAGGAAAATTCACCAAGAAATGCAGAAAGTCCACAAGAGAGTTCACCAGGAAGCACTGAATGCCCACAAGATAATTCATCAGGAAATGCTGAAAGTCCACAAGAAAATTCACCAGAAAATGCAGAAAGTCCACAAAAGAATTCACCAAAAATGCTGAAAATCCAAAGTGAATTCACAAGAAATACCGAAAGTCCAAAAAAAATTCACTGGGAAACATCAGACACCCACAAGAAAATTCACTATGAAGCGCCAAAAGTACACAAGAGAAAATGCTGAAAGTCCAAAGAGAATTCACTAGGAAGCGCCGAGAGTCCATATAAGAATTCATCAAGAGTCCACAAGATAATTACCAAGAAACACCGAAAATCCACAAGAGAGTTCACCAGAAAATGCAGAAAGTTCACAAAAGAATTCATCAAAAAACGTCAGAAAGTTCACAAGAGAATTCACCAAGAAATACTGAAAATCCACAAGAGAATTCACCAGGAAATGTGAAATTCCACAAGACAATTCACCAAGGAAGAAACACCAAAAGTCCACAAGAGAATTTACCAAAGAAATAGAGAATTCATCAAGAAATGCCAAAAATCTACAAGAAAATTATCAAGACATTCCGAAGATCAACAAGAGAGTTCATCAGAAAATGTCAAAGGCCCACAAGAGAATTCACCAAGAAATGCTAAAAGTTTACTCCAAGAAATGCTGAAAGTCTACAAGAAAAATACTGAAAGTTTACAAAAAAGTTCCATTAGAAAATGTTGAAAGTCCATAAGAGAATTCGCCAAGAAACACTGAAGGTCCACAAAAGAATTCGCCAAGAAGCACCGAAGGTCCACAAAAAAATTCACCAAGAAACACCGAAAGTTCACAAGAAAGTTCCACCAAAAAATGCCAAAAGTCCACAGAAAGTTCATCAAAAATGCTGAAAGGTTAAAGACAAGTTTACCATAAAATGTCGAAAAACAAGAAAGTTTACTATAAAATGTTGAAAGACAAGAAAGTTTACTATAAAACGTAAAAAGACCAGAGGGCAGTCTATGGGAAAGTGCACTAATGAAATGCCGAAAGACCACTAGAAAGTTCAACAAATCGTCGAAAGGCCAGAAGAAAGTTCACGAGAAAGTTCAACCAATTTCAAAAAATCAGTAAAAGTTTACAAACGAATGCTGAAAGATTCCAAAAAAGCACTGAAAGATCAAAAAACCCTAAAAGATACAAAGAAAGCTGATCTAAAGCAAGTTGGTAGTAAAGCAGAAAAAAAATAAGCATAAAACAAAAAAATTGACTAACAATAACGATTATGTATATGTATAGCAATAATCTAATTTAACATTAATGTTAAATACACACTTTGCATAAAATTACATGTAATTAATTCGAGAATAGATGTGGTAAAATCGAATTTATCACATTTGTACTTTGATTCTACATGAATAATTCGAATTTGTCACATGATATTCTCGAATTACTCACATAAAATCATAGTACAAATGTGATAAATTCGATTTTATCACATCCCGTATAACAGCTAATCTGGACAATCTGTTCGAATATCCGAGCTTAAATGGATGGATATTCAGATATATTATATCAGATAAATGGATGACAGATTGATCCAGATTGGAACACTAGTCATTAAGAATAATGCAAGGTAAGTTTTTAGTTTTGCATATAATCATGTATATGTATAGTATGAGAATGGTTTGAAGAAAATAGGCTCAGTAGAGGTTTTTCTGATATTATTACAGAAAGTAGAAAATGGGTAGATAATTTTATGTTTAGGTTGGAATTTGGATCTTTGAAGACTTTTAAGAGATTTGAATAATTTGATATCAAAATCAATTTCCATAGAATTAGATATATCTAAGATGTTTTCTAGAATAACTTAAGAAGGTAATGAAATAGTAATATGTTGTAAGGCAAAATAGATATTATATTTTTTGCAAAGACAGGCAGTAATGACTGGTTTGGTTGGTTTAGTAAAAAAATGGAACCTGTTTTCTAAGTCACATATTATTGGAATAAAGTTAATTGGTAAAACTTTAAGAGTTTGGACATTATTGTCATGAGTAACAGAACTGAACCTGTTACTATATTTAGAGAGATAATTATCAAGATTAAAGAAATCAAGTTCAACATTGATAATGCTTGGCATTTTGTGTAATTATCTTTTAGAGTAATAATAGTAAAGTTCAAATAGTACAAACTATTTGTGTAATATTATTTTAATAAAAATTTATTAAATATCTGGGCTTTCAGACTATTTAGGAATGATCTGAGAAGTGTAGTATGTTTATAAAAGCTAATTGGGTGTTTAGAAAATTTTAATAAGTACCAGAAAAGTGAAAAATCTAGGGCAACCCAACAGATTTTCCTAAAATGCCAATGAAAAAACCTGTAAAGACAGATTTTAGTTTTTGCCTTTTCATTTGTATCTTGGTGAAATTTGGTTTGTTTATAATAAATTATATATCAAAATGACCGGCTCAGGGTGCTTAGTATTTTTCTAATAGTTAGCAAGGTATATCTACTTAATAAAATATTTAGAAAATTAACAAAAACCAGAATTTTGGTTTTTGGAACATATCTCAGTGACCAAGTATTATAAAGACTTAAAACTTAGCTGCCTAGGAGAAGAAAAATATGCTCAGCAACTTTATTTAAGAGAACAAGTAAGGTTTACTAAATAAGATATTAAGAAATAATTAAATGTTTTAGTAAAATTTTAGTACAAGTGATCTATAAAGAGAGTTACAGAATTGGTCCTCTTAATCTCTTTTTAAATACAAAACAATGACAAATTTAATATTAATATTTCTTTTAATATATCTAAACAACATTTTTTTTAAACATTTTAAAACTCTTTTTTAACAACTATTTAACAGAATTCAAAAATTTTTTTTCTTAAGCAGTCATGCTAGTATTTTATTAAGATTTTAAAATTACATTTGCAATTATATAAATATTTTTAACAACTAAGTCTAGCATCATCTGGTCATCTTAATAGTATCTAAGTACAACCTGTTATATTACTTTGAACAGAAGTAAACTTCTTGTTTAACTACTTAAAGTCTATATAAAAGGTTTTTTCTCTTTTATAACAAGTCTCAAAATTGTTTTCTGTATTTCTCTTTTAATTTAGTTCACTTTTTCTCTTGTTTTTTTTTTTTTTCTTTTACTTCTTATTAATTTGTCTTTTTCTTTTCTCTTGGTTTTTTTTTTTTTTCTTTTCCTCTTTTTAACCTTTTTGTTATTTCTAGTTTTTTCTTTTATTCACTAATTTTCTTATATAGAATTCTCTATATTTGTTTATAAAATGTATCTCAGATCATGTTTGCTATTATATATATAAACTGTTGTCTTTATTTTGTATTTAGAAGGTATCATAAATGGTTCTGTGTTTCTTTTAAAATTAGGCCTTAGTTATTGTTTTTTTCATTTTAACTTTTTCTGCTTCTATTTTTTCAAAAAATACTATGTATAACATATATAAAAAAATTTGGATTTTTTTTCTTCTTTCAGCTCTTTTCAAGCTATTGCAATAATTATTTTTTGGATTCTTCTTTACAAATTTTTTTGTCTCTTACATGTTAATAGAAGTGCCTGCATTTCTCTTAGCATACTTAGCATTCTGTTGTTGTATATATATCTGGTCTTCTTTTGTTAAATTCTTTTAAAGTCAGAAGTTTATCTATTATATATTTTATAAATACACTTCTTCTGGTACTGAGTCTTCTTGTTATACAATATACTTCTTTAGTTCTTTTTAAGCTTTTCCAAAAATATGTTCAATTACATATTGTAACTTTTGCTTCTAGTTCTAAGTCTTTAATTGCTCTAATTTCTTTCTACTTTATGCTTAATTATGTATTTGTTATTAACTTGCATAGCAATTTTGCTAATATATTAGTTCATTTGTTTTTCCACTCTAGGCAGTATTTTATCTCTTTACAACTAACTTTTTTAGTCTGTATTATCTTCTTACTTGTTACTTTTTTCTTTGCTAGGCTATTAGCTTTATTGTTCCAACTATTTTTACTATAACTTTTTATTTTAACTAGTTCTATTTGTATGTTTTTTGTTATAATAAGGTTTCTAATCTTCATTATTCATATTGTGTTCTTCTTTTTAAAGATCTTATTTTTATCTGCTTGTTCCAAATCTCTACTAATGTTTCTTATTGCAGCATTGCTATTTGTATAAATTTCTACTTACTTTTTCTTTGATATTGTTGAATTGTTGCTTATATTGCTACTAACTCAGCTATTGTTAATGTCTGCCATTCTTCTAAACCAAATGCTACTTTCTTTTTTGGCCATTTTTGTGTTTTATTTGTTTGAATCTATTCTATGTCTATTTTACTTTCTATTTCTATATCTTTTTTTATCTTTTAAGCTTATTGCATCAACTGTATATATCATTTATTTATTCTTATTTTTTGTTATGTTTTTTTTTAAAATTTCTACTATTTCTTAATTAATAATCTTTTAGTTTTTGTATTATTTAATAATTTTTACTTCTAATTCTTCTATTGTTCTAATCTTTTCAAGTTTTTGTTCTTTATATTCTATTTTATTTGTCTTTATTGTTTCTGTTATTTGATTTATTGCTATGTTAATTTTGTTACTGCTTTTTTTTATTCACATATTTGAAACTATATTAATTTTATTGCTTTAATACATTGTTAGCAGCATCTTCTATCTATTTCTTTTCTTTTATACAGCTATTATATCTCTTTATTTCAATAACTAGTTCATCTTTTCTACTTTACATTTGCTAATATTTACTAATATCTTTTTCTTTTTTACTATTTTTTCCAACTGCTTATAATCTTATACATTTATATATTATGTATTTGTATTCAACAAACTTACACTTAACTTTAAAATTATACAACTTTTATAGCACTTGGGCATTTCAATTTTAGCAAATTCTAATGTCTTGTGATCTAACACAATTCATGATGGTTATTAATCATTAGAACTTATACTTACCCAACACTCTAAATACAATATTTTTAGAAAACAACTTCAGAAAAACAACATACTCTATTTAAAACAATTATATACTGCAGACAACAGTACTCTACTCAAATGGCATCATCTCTCACCCAGACTTCATCATCTAACTAAAGGAAGACAACCTCTTTGGTTCATCTATCTTGAAGACACAATCTTGTCTGACAGACTACACCATCTAATTCTCCCTCATTTTCAACTATCTGGAGTTAATGCCTTTGCATATAACACTTTAACTATTAAAAAACAGTTGAAACCATGATTACTTACATATAATAACAATAATGAAGAGATCATTATTAGCAAAATTTGCAAATATTTCCCAAACACAAATCAATTTTCTATTTAACACTGGAATGCTAACATTGATTTAGAACACAATCATTACTACCCTCTTCCAGACCTGAACTGCACACTATATACTAGATGCCATCTCAATTCAAATAGAATTAATCGGATATGTACAATTAATGTATCAGCAACTATTTGTACTAGCTTTTTGGGAAGAAAAACCTCTAAACTCAAACTTTATGCTAACTACCTGGACCTTATTTACTCAACAGCAATTAAACATCCTTCACGAATCCCATATAATTATCCTACTATTAATATATCAAATTCAACTATTGCTAAAATTTTTAAATTTAATGAATGTTCAAACAAACTTGAAGAAATTTTTCAAAGCAATCTGTTATATAAGAAATTCATTTTTTATACTGATGGATCAGTAACTGATATTGGAACTGAACAAAGCTCAATGGGCATTGGATGGGTCCAAGTCAA